TTAACAGACACACCTGTCTCTGCAAAGTGTATTCATTGTGCAGTGTCGACATAACGAAAAGGTATGTTACATATGAACGGAATGACGTCAAATTTTTACCGGTTCGCTTTGATGCAGTGCGCTGAGTCGTATCACTATCACTACTGAATGCAACTCCATCTCTTGGTTACTTAGATATAAGAAGTCTGTTATTACCTGCATGATAAAAGGACTATAATACATGTTTAAATGTATTGTTACTTAATTACTTACCTCGTCACTATCCTGAAAATTTTCTTTCCCCCTGTTTCCATCAAAGTCTTCTTGAATAACCAACACATTATCCAATCTATAGGAACCATTAGAAGATTCCGCTTGATGGGAATCTTCAATGCTAGTTTTACATGATTTTGATTTTCCTCTCTCAAGATAGTTATCGCTTTGGCGTTTCTATAAAATGGAAAATGTATATTATTACTTACTCACGTTATTCAAAGTCCAAGTTCCCATCTGACTTACTAGTTCATTCTCTTGGTAGGTAGCTGCATTGCTCATCACCCTTAATGTACTCAATTGTTTTGTACTGATCTATTTAACAACCATATGATATTATTAAAGGGCTCGTAATTGGAAAATGTCCAGTTTATTGCATACCTGTTGTCGCTTTATTAATCTCCTCTTCTCAAAAAGGTCCCAAAATTCGACGACATTTGAACTTTCTTTCTAAGAAAAATAAGCAGTAGGTACTATTACAATAACCAATTTCAAGATATGTTTTGACTATTGACGCTTGATACACATTGCACCGAGGACGTCACCTACTCCGGGAGTTCACACAGGGCGTCACCTGCTCCCGCGTGGTACAACTGTATACTCCATATATCACACCGAGGACGTCACCTACTCCGGGAGTTCACACAGGGCGTCACCTGCTCCCGCGTGGTGTAATATACAGTAGCGCGGATTTTGTGACTAATTGCCTACATAATGTTTACAGACCTTATTTATTAGATCCGATGCAGCTTTGCTTCTCTCCTCATCCGTGTCCTTTATTATTTTCTTCAATTGTTCATTAAACCGCCTCTTCCATACTGATTTTAGTGACTTCAGTTTAGAATCGTTGAAGTAAGGCTGCATAGCTTCGAGATATCCAGGATAAGACCATTCTTTTACAGGAGTTGACATAAGTACTGT